CTGCTCAGAGTCACTGCCCCTCCCGGGGCTTTTCAGACGTGACTCGCCAGGGACGTGGCCCCATCCCGAACCAAGTGGGCAAGGCATGTTGGCACAGCTTTCAGGCTAGAGCAATGTGAGTCATCCTAAGGGACACAGCCCTCCAGCTTGTGCTCCTTTTGGGGCACAAGCCTGGGGCTCCCCAAGAGAAAGACTGTGTGGAGAACAGAGAAGAGAGACCGGTGCTTGAATCTGAAGTGAGGAACAGCCTGGAGCTCCCTCCATCACGTGGGGCAGGCAGGGTCCCTAAGTAACCCAGGACAAGCCCCTAAAACAGAAGCCTGTGGAGAAATGACTCTCCCAAGGGGAGGAGCAGCCCCACTTTTGGGATGAGGGCTGGTCTTCAGCCTGGTTCTCCTGGGATCCCTCCACCCCACACTCCTGCTTTCTTGAGTACAGAGTCTGGTGTTTCTTTCACCCTTGCTGAGGGAAACCCAGGCATAGTACACAGAGCAGAGGGAATCAGGCCCAGCCTCTCTCAGGAACACAGCTTGGCCCTATTCCACAGCACTTTAGGGTGCTCCACACAGACACTAGTAAGGGGAACCTTCCTGTTTGTCATTAAAAGAAAAATTAATATATGAGTGTTAAGCATAAAATAATTTTTGAGAGTCCACGCATCCTGATAGTCCCATTAAAATACTGCATTGCTTTTATGGAATGAAGATACAATGTCAAATTCTTAGAAGGTCTTTTCTCGTTCTTTTAGTGGCTCTGTTTGGCTGGCACCCTGGGCAGCCGGGCACTCATTCTGTTTATTGGCAATTCAACTCTGCCACATCACCACAGGGTCCCAGATCTCAGAACCTCCACGCTGCATGGCCCCTGAAGCCAGCCTCCACCCCACCTTGCCTGCCAAAGTGCCAGGCACAACAGCCTGGCCAGGAAACAGGAGACGCCGCCGCTGCCGCCAGACAATGTCCCCTCCCTCGCTCCCTCTCTGTCCCTCCCCAAGGCTTCATAGTTCCAGAACCGGAGCCAACTCCCTGATAAGGGCTGGGCTGGTTTGTGGGGAGAGGAACAAGGGAGTGCCAGCCAGGTGAACCTGTGACCTGGTCTCTCTGAGTCACGCACTCAGCAAAACGACTTCTGAGGAGATGCTGCTTCGCTGGCTTCCCTTAGAAAGGCTTCTATCCATTCTCGTGAAGGGAGCGAGCAGGGCAGGGAAGAGATCAGGCCCCTGGCAGAGGCCACTGGAGTACACTTCACAAGCAGTTCCCACATTACAGGCGAGCTGCATCCCAGCAGCCTGCTTCTCTCTTAGGTGAATCAACTGGATCTACAGTGTGTGGAGCATTTTCTATGCACCAGGCTCTCTGCTAGTTCTGTTTAGTTCCGGGGAAACTGTGGGATCTAACTTCTCACACTGTAGACAAAGAAATGGAGGCTGTTGAAGTTAAATAATTTGTCCCCACCCACCTACCAGAGTTGGAATCAGGAAAGGATTTTCATTGTCAAGCCTGTTATGATGCCACATTACTTTGAGCAGTAAATTATTTTCCTGACCAAGCCAGTAGGACCCCTTTAATCTATCATGCAGCTGACAACAGCCAACAATAAAAAAGGGAAAGAAAGAAAAACATGTGTGCTGAAATGCTTAGAGGTTAATACAGAAAGAGTTCTGTTGTCTAAAATGAGAATTCCTTCTGGCTTTCTTTTGCAAGAGCAGCCTTCTGTCCAGGTGGCTGAAGACAGCTGTCAATGAACTCCACAAGGCGAAGCCTCAACACAGGCAAACACCTAGAGGCTTGCCAGCCCTAGCTTTTGGTGGCTAGCCTCTCTTCCAGCTGTGTCTCTTCCTCAGCAACACTTGAATTTACTTTGTTTTAAGATATACAGCAAAGGGCTGGTGAGATGGCTCAGTGGTCTAAAACACCTATTTAGAACAAGCTTAGCAAAGCACAGAGACCGCAGTTCAATCCCCCAGCAC